TAAAATTCATGTCAAATCGCTAAACGATCTCAAAACTCCGAAATTATTTATCAAATCGTATCCTCCCTGGGACTGAAAGTTTGAACGTGGCATAAATAAGATAAAATTCAACATAATAAAATAAATCACGGACCATAGAGCGGCCGGAGATGGACCTAACAAATCGATTTCAATTTATTTCTTTACGTCCCTTCACAATTTATATTCCCAAATTGATAGTTTATAATAAGGAAAAAGTTAATCAATTTAGTTTGAGTCTCCCAAGCAGCAACTGAGTCTGGAAATGTTAATTTTTATGCAATAAAAGTGTCTTTTTAAAGAAGCAGCATAAAATTTGCTACCTGTACCAGGTAAGTACAGGGTGTTTTCGTATAATTGGGCACCCCTCTAAAATCTTTATTTGAAGGGATATTAAAAAAACTAAAAATCCAGCTTGCATGATTTAAATAAGTAGTTTTTTTGACAAAAAATAAAAAACAAAAAAGCATCGGTAAAATTGACAAAATAGATACATAACATTGTTTTTTTTAAATAAAACACCCTGTACATTTTGAATATTTAGATGTAATTTTATAAATGAAATTTTAATTACAAGTTTTATTAGGCACGAGCGAAGCTTGCGAGCGAGTGTTTAATAAAAACGAGTGTCTAGAGATGTTTATAAAACGAGTTGCATATATACTTTTTCTACGAAGAACGCAAAAAAATAATTTAAAGGCTATTTTATTTAAAAAAAAATCTGACATATGGGTGACTCTACAAAAGTTGGTCTTTTGACCTCATTTTGTTTATATAGTTTTCGGAGAAAATTAAACAGTATTTAGTTATGAGAACATAGATAATATAATAAATATACTGTTCCAGACCGGGCCAGTCACTTTTTCAAACAGTTTCTGAAATCTCTGTGTTCTAAATTTGAATGCAAGGAAAGTGACGAGTATACCAGGGTACTAATTAAATACATAATGTATTGGAAAATTTAAGATTTATTGCAACTTTGAGCATATTATACATTAAATATCTTAAAATCAAATAATACCGACACATAAGTGGCGGCTGGTGGATTTTGGGTATACCAATATCTCAATTATTATATATGGGACCCACACCAAATTTATATGAGTTTATAATGACATTAAATAAACAAGTCCTGTGCAAGCAGAATTTAAATTGGAGTTTGCGAAAAAAAGATAACCGAAACATCAAACATATGTTTCATATGGAACTGACGACACGGTACTGATGAATGGGATACAAATTTGAGATTATAATTCGGAATTAAGTATTTTACTGATATTTTTTATTAGTGGATGCTACTTATCAACAAATCATATAAGTATAGCCTTATATAAATTACAATGAAATATATATACGTAAGAAAATAACTACTCACCACAGTACTGAAATTTTGACTGGAACTATACGTGCATTCACCACAACTTCGCCGCTTGCATTGTTTTCAAGATGACTGTCGTGCAAAGGGCGGGCTCTGTAGGTAATTTTTTACCAACACTTGAGTTAAAACGAGAACTTGACGTTTAAACTTCAATATTTCGCAGAAATTTTGAATTTTAACATTGGACACAGAACTGACGGGTAAAATTGAGAACAAAATTTTTTAAAAATTGCTATTCGAATCTATGATAAAATATGAAAAACACATTATTTAATGTTTTATAGTTTGTAGTGAAATTGAAAAATGTAAGATAAATTAAATATATTTTAAAATAAAACCACTCAAATATTTGATTCAGGAGTTGTGACACGCCAAGGTACTGAATCAGATGTTTTGAATATTTATTATGTTTTTCTACAAACGTGCTTTTAAAAAAATACATTAAAATTGGGTGGACAAGTTAAAAAAACCTGGATCTTTTGTAATATACTAAAATATTTACAAAAAATATTAAAATACTTACTCTATTGACTGATGACATCAAGTTGTCCAACTTTTGTAGAATCACCCCTATTGTCAACTGTCAACGGATTTAACCTCACTTTTTCTTAATTTAAAATAAAGCTAAGTTCACCCCGTGACTAAACTTCAACTCGTCACTAAAACGACATAAACTCACAGCTTATCAACATTTTTTCTACATCCACCTTTAAAACGCCATGTTTAAATGTTTCCATGAAATTAAGTGACCTTTAAAATACACATTGAAAAGCTGTGGTTTTATGGCACCTTAGTCACGGTCTGAAGTTAGCTTTATTTTAAATTGAGAAAAAGTGAGGTTAAATCCGTTGACAGTTGACAAATGTCAGATTTTTTAAAAATAAAGTTATTAAAATAATATACACAAATTTAAATATCACACCATTCTGAAATCATCAAATTATAAAAAAATTTGGTACAATATAATTATTAGTACTACTAGTACTAGTACTATTAGTACTACTACTACTTTTCTTTTCTTTTCTTTAAATAGGTATAAGGAATACTTATAACAATAATAATTTCTGGTAATATATTATAAACACTCTGGACAGTTGTAACGAATACGTTACGAATTAAAATAAATTAAGCAGAAACATAAGTTGCAGACGCTGAAGTCAGTTGAACTTGTTGATGCGTATTGTCAGTGGGAAATGTTTTGATTGACTGCTTGAAATCACGTGTACTTTTTCAACAAAATAATTTGTTAAACATTAACAAAATAATCTGTAACCTTTGAAAACAACAAAATACTTACAAAATTGCATATTACCCTTAAAATCCCTGGTTTTTTTTTACAAAAAAATATGTTAAAATTATAAAATTATCAAACTACAAGCTCATGTTAACAAATCTGATTTTTATAACACTGTAAAGCGATCGAATTTTTTAATAAAATATTCACTATGGTTTTTGACTTTCAAGTTATTATAACTTTACCATTATTATTTGCCAGTTTACTAATTAAAAAGACCAAACATGCGAAAATTTGCCTCGGAAAATACCTATCAGATAATAATAAAAATGGGCTCGTTTCATGATCATATGAAATGCGATTATAACTTTGGACGTTTTTTTATTGCCATTTAATGACAAGTATAACAAGAAAAAACATCAATTCCAATTTGACGATCACTATCGCGGCAGTAAAATAAAAATTACGACATATAAAACTGTGTAATTAAAGAGAACTAATGTGTGGTTTATTGCGATCACTTTGTGGTTACTTTCCTTATGTTATGTTTAGGGTTTGTTAAAACTCTGTTTTTTTATTATGTTTATAGGCTATAACTTTTGGTAAAAAAATTAATTTTATAAACTCTCAAAGCATTATCTTTTTATGCAGGCCCAGATCTAGATCTAGATCTAGATTCAGAACATAATAATTCGTTTTAACAGCTCATTTTAGGATTAAATAACACTGCATATAGAAATGTCACTGCCACTGTCAAAAGCGAAAAGAGTTACCATAGTAACCAAATATAAAAATCAGGTTTAAAAATTGATTCTACAAACACAATCAGCTCCCCGCAAGAATGTGTCCATTTTTAGTTAATAATTAATCACAACAGCTTTAAACTTGGTGGATATAATGAGGGCCCTTCAAAATGTGGCATCACTCAATCCTTCTTACGGTGGTAAGTTTCCTCCTAAAATTTTAAAAGATAAGAGGGGTCGAGTGATACCTCATTTTGAACGTCCTTTGACCCTCATTATATTTAGGTTAGTTGACAGTTGTCAAATGTCATACAATCGTTAAAATAAAGTGTCTTACTGGTGAAATAATCCTACATGTGAAATTTATTTTATAATCCCAATACAAAAATACAAAAGTATTATAGTATATTATGTATCAAGTTTGATAAACGCCATTTTATACACGAATTTAATTTAGGCACGAGCGAGCTTGCGAGCGAGTGCTTAAGTTAATGAGTGTATAGAAAAGTTTATAAACAAGGTGCATACTATACTTTTTCTACGACAAATACTTATTATTATCTTAAAATGATTTAAATCGAAAATTTGTATAGAGCGCCATCTATGAAACAACAGGGGAAACTGTCAAATGTCACATTTTTACATTTTATAAACACAATTATAAAGGTTATAAATCGAAATGTATATTGAAAATTGACAGTTTTTCACAGTGAAAGTAAAGGAAATGTTTTATGAGGACTACAGTAGAGTCCGTGCCCGAATTTAAGTTATAGTTTATTGCCGGCGAAATTAAACTTTTCCAATATTGGCGTTGAGAAACTATTTAATATTTTTGTATTTTTATATTGAGATAATAAAATAATTTTCACATTTAGTATTATTTACAAGAAAGGCACTTTATTTTAACGATTGTATGACATTTGACAACTGTCAACCAACTTAAAACTAACTTTAGCCCGTGACTAAAAACCTGTTGCTAACTTCAGCCCGTGACTAAAACGCCATAAAGCCACAACTTCTCAATGTGTATTTAAAAGGTCACTTAGTGTCATGAAAACATGTACGATAAAGGGCGTTTTAAAGGTGGGAGTAGAAAAAATTGTTTCTTATCGACCATATTTGAAAAGTTTATATGCAAGTTTGATTTCGCCGGCAGTAAACTATATTTAACTGATAAAGTATTACAAATTTCGAGAGGATACTCCACAGCGGAGTGCCCATAAAACATTCCCTTCACTTTCACTGCGAAAAACTACTTATATATCGGATTTCGATTTATACATACAAATTTGACATGTAGAGGAAAGTCGCCTATTATGGGGTATAATCCTAATATGAGATGGGCATGTATCTTTGCAATCAAACTAGACATCCATCATATTTTATTTGACAAAGCACACCTACTAGGCTTGAATGGATTTCTACTTAATATTAAAGCCATGTATCAAAATCAGCTGTTCTGTCATTTTTATTTATACGTTTTAGAGGTGATATAATTTTTAGCTGGTGCTTATCAAAACGATTTTTTATTATTAAATTATGTTTATTTTGTCACTCTTATATTTGCCCTGCAAGTACCAAGCCAAAGGTTGCGAAGAAAAATTGGCGTATAAAAATTATTCCAAGCATGTCGCAACTTGCGAGTTTAAAACAAAACCGTGTCCGATGGTGCATTACGAAGGTTGTGAATGGAGAAAGTCACCAAAAACACGTAATTACAAGTGGAAACAACATCTTTAAAGTCGAAGCATCATTATCAGAAGCTAACAACGTAAAATTATTATCCGATAACAACAAAAACTGTATTTTAACCACTTTGGTTGCCGATAATAAATTATATTACTCTTTAAATCCAATGGAACAATACTTGGAAAATGACGAATACACAGTGAAACACAAAAGTAACAATTTGGAAAACAACTATTTAGCAACCGTGGGAACTCTTACAAGACTTAATGGTATGTTTGCTGAAAGGAACCTCATTAAAAACCCCAATGCTACTGTGGTGGACATCGCTTCATTAAAACATCTCGCAGACAAAAATAATATGATCACGAACGAATTCAATCTAAATCCAAAAGGGATCGATGAAAATATGTTGAAACTATTGGAATGCCCGATTTGCATGGATATAATGCGTCCGCCAATTTATCTGTGCACCACTGGACACAATATATGTGATTCTTGTCGTAAAAAAGTTAAACAGTGTTCCTTGTGCAGGACTGAGCGGACCCATGTAAGAAACTATTTCGTTGAAAATTTTACCTCCAAAATGAGATATCCATGTAGGTTTGTTGAATCGGGATGTAAAGAGGTCGATATTGTTGATAGAATAAGAAAACATGAAGAATTTTGTATTTTTAAAGTTTTCGAATGCCCAATGCAAGAATGCTGTCAAGCTGGTAACTACGAATTTATATTGAAACATCTTAGTAGCAAGCATAAAGATATGGAATATACAAAAGATATGGTAATAAATTGCAAAGGATGTATAAAATGGATTATTGTGGATTCAATTATATTTATTTTGTGTTGTGAGCGTTTTCCAGATTTATTAATTATAGATGTACATTTGTGTTTCGTAGTAACTTCTTCGGACTATAGTTTTCAAGTAAAAGTTTTATGTGATGAGGGATGGTCATTAATAAAAAAATCCCCTTGCGATAAAGGGATCATAGTCAATGTAACCAATGATAAAAATTTTACAGTTTCTGTCAAAAAAAATTAGAATAAATAAATATTTGAACTTAGACATGTAGTCGTATCATTTATGTACACTGTAAAATTTAATTCTTTGGAGTCATTTCATACGAACACGTCCAATCTGTGTGCTGAATAATTTTTAATTTTTAAAATTTTTTACTTTCGACATGTGCAAATCTGAAATTGTTTCATTTTCATACCCCTTTTTGTTGAGCCAAAACTTTTTTATATTACAAAAATTTTGGTGATTTTCTGTGTGTTTTAATTTTTATTGTAAAAAGGTGTTTTGTCCATTTCAACAATGAAGGATGGGCCCAGCCTACTAATTTTGAAATGCTCATTTTTTTTTAGGAATATGTTACTTACACACCGTTATACAAATCAGATTTGTTAACGTGAGTTTGTTAATTTTCATAGGTTACAGATTATTTTGTTTTAACAAATTATTTCGTTGATAAAGTACACTTGATTTCAGACAGCCAATCAAAACATTTACCACTGATTTTTTATTGTCAACCATACTGCTTCAGCACAACAATACGTATCAACAAGTTTTTATCTAAGCGACTGCAACTTATGTTTCTGCTTACTTTATTCTAATTCGTAACGTGTTCGTAACAGAGTGTTTATAATAAAATACCATTGTTATTTGGTTTCCTTATACCTATTTAACGAGTGTGGGAAGTACCCGGAAAAAGATGCCATCACTGGTTTTCAAACTAAAATTAGGGGATACAGTAAAGTGGGTTAAAGTTACGAAATACATCAGTAAGTGTTGTATGGTATAAATATCTACTTTCTTAAAATTAATTAGTCAAAAATAACTAATTTTAAGTCATATTTGACTAATTGTCATAGCGAAAAAGCAGTCACTAATAATTAGTCAAATTCTACTGAATGAAATAGTCAAATTAGTAATTTGTCAAGCTGTTATACCCATTCGGCCATCAGCCGCTCTTATAAAAATCAATTTTATTTGTCAATAAATATTGTTCATACTATTTTAAAGTTGAATATATTATTTGTGTTGCTATTTTAAGCTAAACTTTTTGCATCTTTATTTGTTTTTATGGGTCATTTAACCATGGAGCCTAGGTATATCTATTTAATTCAAATAATACTTTGTTGTTGGCCGCAAACGATTAAAGAAATTTGTTTCTTTTAACTCTCAGAAATACTCAAATATCGTGACTTATCTTTAATTAGTCAAACTTTAACGTAAAAGTAGAATTTTGACTATTTTATTTTTAGAGAGTATACTATATATAGTATATATACTTGTGAAGAACGAAATCCTGACTGGTTTGGAGGTATAATCACAGTATATGCTTATACTGTGGTATAATGATAACAAATATTTCTTCAATTGCTTTTTCCAGTATTTTTGAAAATGTGGACTATAGTCCACAAGACCATAAGACTATATATAGTCTTATGGTGTTTGGAAGAGGCACAATTAATGTTTTTTTCCAATCAATGGGAAAAACTGAATGAGTAATACAATAATTAATAATATGAGTAATATATGATAGTAAAAATGAAACACATAAATTTAAAGTAAATATAAAAATACCATCAAACTTACTTTTGAAAGCCTACACCGCACAAACTTCAATATAGAACGATTTAAATTTTCCTTAAAACCATCTCTACAGTACCCCCAAGGACTATTCCAATACGATCAATTAATACAACTCTAACAAAATATCCTAAGAAATCAACACACCCAAAAATTATTCAAAATACCTTTCTTTCCCTGTCGTTGGAGATGTAATTAGAGTATCCACAAAAATTTCAAAATACTGCAGTATTTACACTGGAGAAATGATCGCAATCCTAGAAGCCATAAAGATATGCTCCCATTTATAAATGGGAGCATATCTTTAAGGCTTCTATCTACAGATTTATAAATTGTAGACACCCTTTTTCTTTGACTATAAGCTGGTGAAGGTCTTGCGTCCCTTTTAGTACTTGTATATTGCGTGGAATTTTCCCTTGGATGTAATCTATATCATGAGTTGTAATCACAAATAATTTTAAATTAGTTTATCATAAACTACTTTTAATAAAAGCGACGGTAAATATCCACTTTGTGGTCGAAAAATTATATTGCGTTATTCTAAATTCCATTGCGTTACCATAAGGTAACATAATGGACTCGGTAACGCAGTGGAAAAAGTAACTAGCGGACGAACAATTATTACATTCGCGTTACCCGCACCTGTTTCAACCGATATCTTCTTCCTGATTGAATAAATAAATTCAGCTGGGTAATGTGTACGTCCGAACATCATTTGTTGATCACGTGAGTGCCAAAAAAAGTTGCCATATATATGTTTTTTTAAATATTCTATCGGTAACGCAACGGAAAAAATGTCTTAGACATGAGACAAATTTAAAAAAAAGTATATTAAAATTAATTTATTTATATATAAATTGTTTACTGTATTAACTAAGGATGTTATGGATTGCTATAAATATATATGCTATATAGCAACAGAAAATTCTGGTTATTCAATATTTAAAAAAAAAACATGTAATTAAGTTTTATGAAACGCTAATGGGACATGCGAAAATGTGTGTTTCACAAGTTTTAAAATTAAAAAAAAATATTCTGAAACAACTAAACAATCATTTTCTGAAAGAGTTTACTAAGGTCTTGTTAGGCTTTCACTTGGTTTTTAAATCAATAAGATCCGATAATTTTTAACAAAGTTATTGGAATTCAAACTTACGGACAGCGGAAGGCGGGTGTTTTTTGAAAACAACCCATAAACTTTTTAAATATTGGCGTTGAGAAACTATTTAATATTTTTGTATTTTTATATTGAGATAATAAAATAATTTTTACATTTATTATAATTTTACAAGAAGTGCCGTGACTAAAAACCTGTTGCTAACCCGTGACTAAAAGGCCATAAATAAATATATTTAGCATCAATTAATAAATATTACGCATACAAAAATACAACATACTAAAAGTAGTTAGAAAACTTGAAGAGAACTGTCCTTCACTGAAAATCAAGTTAATTAGTTTTTAGTAATTTTAACGTTAACAAACAAAGGTGATTTTGAAATAAATTTGATGTAAATTTAATTATTCTCACAAGGAATAAATGTATAATGGGGCTTTTGTACCTTTTATTAGCAGTGCAAACTGAAAGAAATCCCCAAAATTGTCTTTTTCAGAATTAATTTGACTTTGTTTTATAATTACAAATTTTATCCCTTTTATATTTGCTTTGCTAAATTTAAAAATATCTTCCACATTGAAAATATGATTTTTTTTTCATTTTTTTTTTTAAGACAGGCTTTTCAAACCAACCTTTTTACGGTTTTCCCAATTCCATCATAAGAAATGTATGGAATTTGTACTTAAAGCCTTGGTGGGCGTCATTTTTGACTAATTTATTTTATTTTACTCGCCCCAACTATATAAAATTATTATTTTAAAAAATATTAATTATATGGATAAATTCGAAAATTCTACATTAAATTATAATAATTAAGTGCAACAGCAAAAAAAATGATGGGGTTCTGAAAGTGGTTTTCGTTTCTCCTATTCAAATAATGCCTTTTTGCGTTTACAGAATGTTTAGATTGATTTACATTTTTTTTAAATATTGATTTTAAGTTTTATTAATTTTGGAACCCTAAAACCCGTTATTTATTAATTAAAACCAATTAACTGGTGGGAAATTGTTGTCATGACAATAAATTAAAAAGAAATAATAAAAAATAAAACAAAAATTAAAAATGGGGGTAAACAGGTCACTAAAAGTACATTTGCTCCATTCACATCTTTACCTGTTCGAAAATCAGCTGTCCACCGAATCAGAAGAGCATCAAACAATAATGGAAATGGAAAATCGTTATAGAGGAAAGAGGTTTGATTCGATGTTGGCAGATTTTTGTTGGTCTATGGCAATGGAAATTTTGGCATAAAATTATAAATTAAATTTGTTATATCTTTTATGTTCATTCATTCTATTTGTTAAAAAAAAAATTGTTTTTAATAATTAATATAATAATAATAATAATAATTACCATAATTATTATTATGGTAGAAGGAAAAGAACTAAGAAATTGCACTACAACATATTAAATCCAGAAAAAGGGTAAATTAAAAAAAAATGCATTTTATTGTTCTCATTATTTTTTTATTTAATTATTTTTTTCTTTATTTGATTGTTATTACTTTATTATCTTTTATGTACTAATTATTTATTATTTTACGATATGTCGGGATCCAGAATTACTAAAACTAAAAAAATCCAGAATCAATCTAAACATTCTGTAAACGCTATAATTCAGTATTTTGATTGTAGAAACCGAAAATACTTTCACAACCCCATCATCTTAATTTTTTTCCAAAAATGTTGCACAGTGTAATATTTCTCAGTGTAATAAACTACATTATTATTTAGTTTTTGTAGAACTACTGTTTAATAAAAAATTGTTGTTATAAACGAATAAAAAAAAATTAAAAAAAGTAGTAATAAAAAATTACCAAAAAAGACAAGACTTAGTTCCAAAGGATAGAAAAGAATTTGCAACATATAAAAAGTCCAGAAAATGTCAAGCAATAAAAAGTAGTGTAGAATTATCTCACTATACGAGGTGTGTTCAGAAAATATCGGGAATTTTCGTTTTTTGAAACAAATATTTATTTATTCGTCTACATTAATGTTGTCGCCTT